TATTTTTATTTTTTAAAATTTTAAAAAGATTTTATTTATTTGAGAGAGAGAGCAGGGGGAAGAGCAGAGGGAGAGGGACAAGTAGACTCTGCACTGAGCACAGAGCCTGACGTGGGGCTGGATCCCACGATCAGGAGATCATGACCCTAGCTGAAACAAAGAGTTGGACACTCAACTGACTGAGCCACCCAAGTGCTCCTATTTTTTTTTTTAAAGACTTTATTTTTTATAGTAATCGCTATACCCAACATGGGGCTCAAACTCACAACCTCAAGATCAAGAGTCACATGCTCCATGGACTGAGTCAACCAGGAGCCCCTGTATATTTATAGTTTTAATGTTTATATAGTTTATAGTTTTTTTATATATTTTACAAACAGATAGGTTGTGCATATAAATTTTATATATAAACATGTTTTATTTTGTATATAAATACGTTCATTAAGTTTTGTTTATATATTATATAATACTCATATACACACATGCATATTACATCACAATCGATAGCATAAATTTCCAGTAGTGATTGGAGAAGTAAAATATAGGTCTATGGGAAACAGAGGAGCCTGATCCTTGGTCATCTGAGGACATGAAGTTCTGCCTGTCTGCCTAGTTGTACAATGACACAAAATATAATAGGCTGGCAGAGTTGTAGGTAAGAGTACATTTTATATAGGAGGTTCAACAAAATGAAATGATTTGCAAGAGTGTGCCTGCGTCTGTTGGTTGGGAACACCCAACAGCCTCCTCCAGCCTCCAGACTGTGAGAAATTAATTTCTGCTGTTTATAAGCCATCTAGTTTAGTTATAGCAGGCCAATCTTAGCAGACTAAGTAACGTAGTATAAATTTTTCCCATTTTTTTTATGATTAACTTGTCTGTGTCCTTATATATGAGTTGTTTTCTTCAAACAACATATGATTTTTTTTGTACCCAGGTTGTCTGTCCCTGCCTTTTGATTGGAACACTTACTCTTTATATATACAATATAGTTGCTGATGTACTTTGATTTAAAGCTGACTCTTCCATTTGCCCCACCTGCATGGTGACACTATGCACTGAGGAGAGATTAGAAGAAAACCACAGCTAAAGGAACTACCATCATAAAGAATAAGAGAAACAACAGTTTTGACATACATGAATATGAGAGATGGGGGGATGTGGGAAGATTGAAAGAGGAAACAAAAAGAGTGAATGCTATGAAATGCATTTGTGCAGTGGCCCAAAGGTATGCTCGTGTGTTTGCTTAAGAACATTTGGGGCGGGCGCCTGGGTGGCTCAGATGGTTCAGCGTCTGCCTTCGGCTCAGGTCATGATCTCAGGGGCCTGGGATCGAGTCACGCATCGGGCTCTCTGCTCCTTGGGAGCCTGCTTCTCCCTCTGCCTCTCTCTCTGTCTTTTATGAATAAATAAATAAAATCTTTAAAAAAAAAAAAAAGAACATTTGGGGCAAGCAGTAATTTTTCCTGCTGATCTGCCTGGGACAGGTGTAAATAAACCAAGTGTAGGACTGCAGATGTAGATGGCTACACGTAGTGGGACACCTGACTAATACAAGTTTGTTTTTATCACACAACAAAATGTCTCAAAATAGGCAGTTGTTACCCTTGGCTCAAAGGCTCCATGAGTCAGTGTCTGCAAAGAGCTGGTATGTGTGACTGAATGGGCCTTCTCCTCGTGGGCTTGAGAGCAGGAAGTCCTCTCAGCTCATTAAAGACAAGAAGCAGATGGCTACATGTGGCCGGCATATCCCTCTGTAGGACTCTCTTCTATCAGAGAAAGAGACATCCTTTCTTTCCTTTCCTGAATCCTCCAGAACACGTTCTTCTATAGTTCTGATGTGGGAAACAAAGGCAGAAGAAAAATTATTAAATTTCCTTACTACTTTCAGCCCACTGACAAGTCCTTGAAACAGGCAGAGTGACATTCCTCTAGGAACTCAGCTGCCCAGATGTTGACACTTTGCTAAGGGTAAAAGGCAATCCGACCCCCCCCCAATCCCATAAGTCTACTTTAACATGCAAAAATTCCTTTGGAAACTTCTTTTATCTCTACCCCTCCCCTCCAAGATACATGTTGGCAATTATCCCCCAAGCATATGAACCACTGATATACATCTGAAGGGTCTCATGACTCAGGTTTTATTAGACAGTCATAAATTACCTTTTCTTAACAATAGCTAGCCCCCTGAAAGTCCTGAAAACCTTGCTACCAAAATTACAGACTTGCACTATCCCTAACCCCCTCCCAACTTGAAAGTATATAATGGGCCACTCTTCATGACCCCAGTGCATCTCTTTCCTTTTTTTTTTTTTAAGATTTTATTTATTTTTGAGAGAGAGAGAGTGTGCGCACGCACACAAGCAGGGGGAGGGGCAGCGGGAGAAGCAGGGAGCCCAATGCAGGACTCAATCCCAAGACCCTGGGATCATAACCTGAGCCAAAGGCAGATGCTTAACCTACTGAGCCACCCAGGCGCCCCCCCAGTACAGCTCTTTCTGCCCAGGGGTCCTGTCCCTGTGCTTTAATAAAACCACCTTTTGCAACAAAGATGTCTCAAGAATTCTTTCTTGGCCATCAGCTTTGAACCCTAACATCTTTCCTACATCAATCTCTGTGATTTTGGAGACCACCTCTATATTGTTATGATTCTACTATTTTATACCAGCATGGCAAAATACTTGGCACATAATAGAAACTAAAGAAAATACTGAATAAATAAAAGAATAAATATACAAAAGTGGCTTAAGATCAAGTTCTAGAGTTATCATTGTGACTTTGTGTCAGCAATTTCTGCCTTGAACCTGGGCTCTCAAAATTTCATTTGTTTTTATTATTTATTTATTTATTTGAGAGAGAGAGAATGAGAGACAGGAGAGCACGAGAGGGAAGAGGGCAGAGAGAGAAGCAGACCCCCTGCCGAGCAGGGAGCCCGATGTGGGACTCGATCCAGGGACTCCAGGATCATGACCTGAGCCGAAGGCAGTCGCTTAATCAACTGAGCCACCCAGGCGCCCATCAAAATTTCATTTGTTAAGAAATTGTGCAATGTCTCTGAAGCTCAGTTTTGTGTGCTTAAACTAGCAGTATTTATTTATCCATGCATTCATCCCTGAATTCATTTAGCAGCCTCAGGGCCTGTGGATGCCCACCCCTTGGTGAATTCCTTAGGGAAAGCACCTTCCCCAACAGCAGGTGTTTGCTTCAAGGTGTCAGCAGAATTCCAGAGGCCAGAGGGAAACTGACAGAACAAAAGACAAGGAATGGATTGTGGGTCTGGTTCTGGGACAAGCTTGTTGCCTTAGACAAGTTCACAGGATTCTTGGGGGAAGGCAGCCTCATTCAGAGAAATGGACAGAACAGGGCCTCATCAGGATTCACGGCATCTGACCCCTGGCTCTCTGGTTTCTCTATAGCCATGCAGTCTCTGGATGCATAAAGCTTTCCTCAGTGCAGGGCTTCCCAAACTTTCCCACCAAAGTCTCCCTAAAGAGCAGAAAGAAGGATACTAACTCCTGGGAGGTGGTCTAAGGAGAACACCCAAAGAAGTGCCAAATTGCAGGTTTATCTTGAGGTTTCTTGGTTTTCTTGGCCATTCCCTTTGTTCCAGCACCACCAGGTACTCAGAAGAATCTTCCAGTTCAAGAAGCCGCTTGCTCCAAGGAAAAATCCCTGAAGGGGTGGAAAGGGCAGGGGTTTTGGAGTCAGCAAGACTTGGATTCGAAAATCAGCTCTGACCTTTACTAGCGCTGTGACTTTGGGTGAGTTACCTAACCTCCCTGTGCCTCCGTTTATGCACCTGGAAACTGGAGATTTCAGGAGAAATAACTGAGTCGGGTTAAAAGGATTAAATAAAACCTTAAGTGTAGGGATGCCTGGGTGGCTCAGTCGGTTGAGTATCTGCCTTCAGCTTAGGTCACGATCTCAGGGTCCTGGGGGTCCTGGGATCTTGGACTCCCTGCTAGTGGGGAGTCAGCTTCTCCCTCTCTCTGTCTCTCTCTCCCCCTGCCCTCCTCCACCCCCATTCATGTGCTCTCTCTCTCTCAAATAAATAAATAAAAATTTAAAAACACAAAACAAAAACCCTTAAGTGGAAATGACACTTTTGACCAGGGACTGCAATGTGCTAGCTGCTAGCAGTGGTGGTGGTAGTAAAAGTCCTAATAATAATACCTGTTAACTGCTATTTTGATTATTACTGCCACCTTGTCACACAATTGGGAATCCAAAAATTAGTCCCTTGCACATTTACTATCTTAGCCCCAAGAACTCATTCATTCATACGATCACACCAGCACAATTACAAACCCTGGGTTTCCCCCACACATGCTGCAATATCGTGCTTTATAATAAGAAATAGGTATTTGTTGTTTGCCCCCTCCTGGCATGGAGCTCCCCAAACCCTTGGAATTTCGTAAGGGATGAGTGAGGGGTGTCTTTTGTTATGTTAAGGCACTGGAATGTGGGGGTGGGGGAGGGGGGAGGGGACTCCCAAGGTGGGGGCTGGTGGCCCGGCGAAACCACCAAGGGATTAGAGGGTTAGAACTTTCAGTCCCACCCCCCACCTCCGTGGAGGGGAGAGGGGCTGGAAATTGAGTTCAATCACCAATGGCCAATGGTTTAATCAATCATGCCTACCTAATGAAGCTCCATCCAAAACAGGAGGAGCCTGAGAGAGCGTCCAGGCTGCCGAACACCGTGGAGGTCCTGGGAAGGTGGAAGCTGCGAGCCCCTTCCCACGTTCTTCATCTGGCCATTCCTGCGGTCCGTTTAGAACAGCTGGTGATCCAGTAAGTAAAACGTTTCTCCCACAGCCTAAAACCCCGACCTGCGGACTGAGAACGGGCGTCGGATACGGGGTGGGCGCCGTCCTGGGCACGGGGCTCCTGACCCAGGGCACCCGGGCGTCAGAGTCAGGTTGAGTGGCAGGACACCCGCTGGTGTCAGAGAACTGTTTGATGGTGGGGAGAAAACCCACACACTACACACTGCGACGGGAATAAAAACTGGTTTCTCTCACACACACACACACTTACACACGCACACACTGGCACAAGCGGCAGTTTCTGTGCACACGCACGTTTACTTTCTGGGATCCCCTACACACACACACACACACACACACACACACCCTCCCCACAATCACAAAGGCTGGGATCCAGGTTCAGAGGGTAGTTTAGGTTCTGTGGCCACACAAATCCGTGGCACAGCCACTCAACTCTGCTGTGGTGCAAAAGCAGGCAGAGTCTACACATACACATTCAAAACCGGTGTTTCCCCTCACACGCAAAACAACGGGATCACAAACGCAGGCCCCACAACACACACACACACACACACACACACACACACAGTGGCACAACCTGGGCCTCTCGTGCGCAGACGCCCAGGCGGCACGAGCCGCACACCTCAGAGAATCGCCACCACCGGGGCGGGGGGCCTCAGGCGCCGCCGCACGGCCCCACGCGCCGCAGGGGCTCCTGGGAGATGTAGGCTGCGGGCCGGGAAGGCGCCTCGCAAAGGACACTGGGGTTCTTCGTTCTACGTAGGCGCCAGTGAGATTCCACTGCTGGCCTGGAGGCGGCGCATCCCTCCTCCGTCCCTCTCGCGGGTCGCTGCGACTGCGGGCCTGACAGATCTCTGCCAGCGCAAGCCGGGGTCCCTCAGTCGCACGTTTGGGGCCTGGCCTTCCAGGGCCGCACCCCCGAAGGCTCCTAGGAGTCGCAGGCTGAGCTCGCAGTGCGCACGCGCGAGTGCGCGCGGCAGCATCCGCGGGTGAGCCCGCCTCCCAGTGCCGCTGAGCCCTGGCGCGATCCCGGACGGGAATCAGCGGCTGTGCGCGCAGCGAGGGCAGCGGACTGCGGAGGCTGGGTTTGGTTCCATGGATCACGGAAGGACAGCGCCTGAGTGCATCTACGTGACTTGGCAGGAGGAGAGCGCCCGCGGACCGCACGGTACGGTCGGGGCGTGCGCGCGGCTCCGTGTGCTGAGTGGGATGGTGCAGGGGCGGGGCCCCAAGGACGGCTCTGACTGCGTGAGAGCGCTTACGTATGTGTCTTGCGTGGGCGGGCGGGGGGTGGGGCTCCGGCTCTGCTTGTGGGAAGGTCCCCGGCGCGTGCGCGCCGCGTGGCTTTGTTTAGGGGCGGGGCCGGGCGCTCTAGGGGACGCCCAGGGGGTGGGGCGGCGGCCGGTCTACGTGTTGCTCGTGTGAGGGGGCGGGCCCGGCGGATGCGCCTGGGGTTAAGGAGGAGAGTGCGCAGGCGCGGGGGGCGAGGGATGCTGCGCAGCTATTAGAGTGGGCGCCGCCGGGAGGCGAGCCCTGGGGCCTGAGGTGAGTGTGGGCGCTTGTCTGTGAGATGGTGGGGAAGTGCGGCGGCGCGGGGTCGAGGCGGTGCGAGGTCGTGACGCGGAGTGGGGTCTGGGCCCGGGACGGTGGGGGTCCTGAGGCGGAGCTCGGGGTGCGCGCCCGGGGCTGCGAGTGCCGTGGAGGCCTGGGACTGTTCGGGACGCGTGTGGCGTCGCGTGCTGTGGGATGAGGTGGCGGCTGTGTGTGTGGGACGGGCGGCAGGTGGGGGGACGGGCGCGTGTCCCAGGACCGTGTAGTTCTCCCTGTGCGCGCGGGGCGTTTGGGGGAGGGGAGCGGGCGCTGGTGGGCGCACGCAGCGGGAGTGTGCAGGCGGCACTGAGGCTTCTGTCGGTGCAGCGCATTCGTGTGTGCGCCTCAGACCGGTGGGGCCGGTGCTCACCGTGCGGGGTTGCGCTGGGTGACTGCGACCGAGCGAGCGTGTCTGCTCCTGCTGCGCTGGCGTCTCTCCCCCGGCGGGAGGGCTCTGAGCGGCTGCGCGGGCTGCCCGCCTCGGTGAGAGC